TTTTTTTTTTTTTTTTTCTTTGGAGAGACGGAGGTAAAAATTAACATAGAAAAAAAGGGGAGGAAAGTAAGGCGGCAATACTCGGACGAAGGAAGGAGGGGGGTGATGCCATTAGAGACAGTGAATTTCTTCGACAAGGGCGGGGAGAATGGCGCCAAGTTCACACCGACACCAGAGGAGATAAGGACGATTCAGGAGAAGATGAAAGACCCAAAGTTCGTGGAGCTTTTTCAAGACTACATGAAATCGATGGAGGACCCCGAGACGCGTCGCGAGGAGGAGGCGTACCTGCAACAGGTGGAGCGTGAAGCAAAGGATGGCGGTGACTACAGTTTTGACTTTGTGTTTCCGCGCCCCGGCTTCGTCGTGGAGTTGCTGGAGCCATCGACGTCGTATCATGTGAAACACCCCTCGCGGAGCGCGGAAAAGGGAAGTCTAAACCGAAACACTCGTGTCTTCGTTAATATGTGCAGCAGTGAGAAGATTGATCCTTTCCGTGAAGAAACGACGAAAGATAGGAAGAACAGTAACTGGTACGTCCCAGTGTCCATCTCGAATCCGAGGACAGAGCTTTTCTCGGAAGGGACTTCATCGGTGACGAAGGCGGACGAAAAAGAGGGTGACGACGAAAACAAGGATGAGATTGCAGTGTACGATGCTGTGTTCCATCCCAATACACTGCAGCTCGCTGACAGAAGTGACCGTTTCTGCTCTTTCCTCGTTAACATTGCGGTTGAGCACATCAACGCGGGACACGGTGACCAGCACGGGTTTCAGTTCCGCCGCCTGCCCAGCAGCGTCGCGTCACTAGGGACGCCGCAGAACCAGACGATCACCAGGCAGAAGGGTAAGTCGCCATTTGAGGCTGCCAAGGGCGAGCCGGTGTTGACGCATCCAACAAAGACACTCCCACTGACGGGTGCCCACGATGTTGATGTAAAAAAAAAAACGGCGACGGAGGTGGCTTCTCTTCGTAAAAGTGAACGGAAGGTCGGCGGCGAGACGGCAACCCAATTAGTGGCAAATGATGCGAAGGAAGGGAATATTCCGCGGCACACAATTGTCCACCGCGGGCATATTGACTTGTCCGATACGTGGGGATGGAAAGTAGTTGATCGGCGTGTTGGTGTTCCGGAGGCCCTTGTGGTGAAGATGGAATTTGAGGGCGTGAAGTCCGCAGCAGACCTTCTTGTTGAAGTGGAGGGTACTTACGTGACGATAGCGAGGAGTGATTTGCACCCATACCACGGTGCATTGACGCTGCCATTCACAGTGGAGCCTGTGCCTGTGGAGGCAAAGTTTGATCGTCGGAAAGGCATGCTGACGTTGGTGCTTCGCGTCGTGCCGCCAGCGCCTACGGGTATTACGGCTGCAGACATGCGTCAGCAGTTGCTGCGTGGTGGTGACACAGAGGATGACACGGCGGAGAACAACTCGAATATGCCACACGAAAAGCACGAACCCCATTCAGCGGATGCATGGAATACTGCACCTAATGGGGTGGGGTCTCCTGCTGCTGCCCCTCCAGCGGAAGAGCCCCAACCCCAAGTGGCGGAGAAACCGGAGGGGCCACCATCTGCGCCGCAGCTCTCCTGCATCGGGGACCAGGATCGTGTGCGGCAGATGATGGAACAGGTCCAAGCGGCCCGAATTGAGCGTGAGAGGGCTGCTGCTGCGGCGGCGGCGGCAGAGGCGGAGGCGGCGGTGGCGGCATCGGTGGAAGCAGCGCCAGCAGGTGAGGGAAAAAAAGACGAAACAGAGGTGGTTCCTGTGGCGGATGAAAAGGAGGAATGTTGCGAAAAGACACTGGAGGAAAACGCGGACGCAGCCCAGGGAGAGAGTGAAGCTGCCGATGCGGAGATGACAACGGGTGCGGCGGATCTCTCAGAGGTGGAGGGGATTGTAGGTTCGGTGAAGGACGAAGCAGACCTGGGGTTGCTGCAGCAGCGGCAGGACGCATGGCGAAAAGAAATGCAGCAGCGTGTAGAGAAGAAGGATGAGGAGGAGCGCCAGGCTGCGTCTGTGGCTGAACGTGAGGTACGCCGTGAGGCGGAACGTGTGAGAAAACGGGCGGAAGCTGCGAAGCTCGAGGAGGCGGCGGAGGTAAAACTTCGTGAGCGCATGGCTGAACTACCTCTGCGCAGCCGCCACATCTTCACAATTGATTANGAGGAGGCGGCGGAGGTAAAACTTCGTGAGCGCATGGCTGAACTACCTCTGCGCAGCCGCCACATCTTCACAATTGATTAAATGTGTCATTCCATATGAAGCCCTCGCATGGTGGTGGGGAAAGGAAGAAGGTAGATAGATAGAGAAGTAAGGGGCGAGGACACTGTTAGTCTTTGCTCTTTTTTGCTCACTGCGTATGTATAAAATTATATCCATATTTATTTATAACAGCTTTGACCTGGGGGCGTGTGGTGCCGTGGCAAACGGTGTGTGTGTGGGGGCCATAATAACATGGCGTGGGTGGCAACACTGATGCACTGGCGCTGCTGAGCAAGTTTTGCCTGCTGCTTCCCCTCGAACTTCGCTGACGAAGGGGTGCTGGGTGAGGGGTCAAACACAGATCGAAGGAAGTGTAAAAATAGAAGAAGGGAAAGGGGCACATAGACGAAAAAAAGTTGTCTCGTGAATTCTCTGCGGAATCCATCGTTATATATATATATATATNGGGTCAAACACAGATCGAAGGAAGTGTAAAAATAGAAGAAGGGAAAGGGGCACATAGACGAAAAAAAGTTGTCTCGTGACTTCTCTGCGGAATCCATCGTTATATATATATATATATATATATATATATTCGCTCAGCTGGGTGTTTGCAGAGTCTTCGTGACTGCGTGCCACTGATGATGCGCACCCTCAGTGCGACTTCCGCCGCTACTCCTTCGATGGACTTCGCTGCACTCCACGATATTATGCGCGACCACATACACCGCGGCAACAATTTTGCGGTGTTGGCGACACTCGCCCTCAGCGTTGTCCACGAGAATCCCGCCTTCTGGCAGACGTGTACATACCGTAACGGCATTGCGGCGGCTGTGCTTGCCTCGTGTATAGAGAGACGTGGAACAAAACACCTGCAAAGTGAAGCTGGTGCGACAGAGACTAGCACTGCCTCCACCGCAGAGGAGGGGCCTCTGACGGAGAGTGAGTTGTACATTTTGCTGCGGCGAATTGACGATAACGACGCTATCCTTCGTCGTGTCATTGATCAACTAGAAGAAGGGTCTGCGCCTTCAAACCATGATGATATGGAATCCTCAGACCCTCGGTCAGTTGAAACACAGATAGATCTTGATATGTTATGTGCGGTGCTGCGGGAGCGGTGTAGAAGCTGCAATGAAGAACGCGATCTGATTGGAGACACGGGTGCTGCGTCGTCCTCTGCGACTACTACCAGAATGTTGAAGCGTCCACGCGGATCTGATGCCGCGGAGGAGCGACATGTCGTTTTTACTAAAGAGTCGACTTCGACCAGCACTGCAGACGACAGCCGCGGTGAAGTTGACAGCGACGCGCTGAATGTTCTGGCCCAACTACCCGCGTTGCCGGGCTCCACACGTGCCGTGGCTTCCTTTGACGCTGTGGGGGATTTTGTCAACCAGGGCGATGGCGAGCGAGTGGAAACCGGAAACCAGAGATTTGGATGCCGCAGTTTCCACTGCGAAGAAGCCATGGGCTGTGCCCCCATTGTGGAGTTGCGTCCAAGGCAACGACGCCACAAGTTCACCCCTGAGGAGGACGAGGCCATTCTGCGAGGCGTTGCACGTTATGCGCAGGGAATCGGCAGGTTCGAGAGTATCTTCTATGCCTACCGCGGTGTGTGGCACCCTGATCGGACGCCTACGCAGCTGCACGATCACTGGCGGGGAACGCTTCGGCAGCGAGCGGTTCTTGAGCAGGGTGGATATCGGGGGAAGAACAGTCTCGCATCCCGCCGGGGTGGTGGAGGAAATATTGTGGACAGTGATGTTGCTGGAAATGAGAAAGGGAGATAGCAACTGTGTGCTGCAAATATATTCACGTAGACACGGCACTCATTTCTGGGAAACTTGGAGGGGCGAAATATATTGAATTATGCGAATTATATTCTTTGAACCTCCGGTAATTCTCCCGTTGTGTGTCTGTGTGGAAAAGTAAGAGTTTGTGTGCGTTATCGCCGAAAACACAGAACTCTTTCATTCACAAAATGTTCAAACTCCTGAAGGGTTTTCGCTTGGGCGGACTTAGATCTTCGTTTTCAGTGCATTTTGACGTGATGAAGCATTCGATTTTTTTTTTATTGTTTCCTTTTCTTTCTGTACTTTATTTTGTTTTTAAAATTCATTTCAAACTTTAGTAGAAAATATATTTGACCTTCTTATTCGGTTTCGCTTGGGTCCACGCGGCAATGTCAGCTGAGAAAAAGACACCGAAGGATGTGCCGCTGCCCAGGTCTTGGACGATCGGCATCGCAGGTTTCTCCGGTATATTCGGCTGGATTTTCACGCATCCATTCGAGATGTGGAAGAACACCGTCATGATGGCCCCCAGCGGCTCTTCGCAGATGGATTGCCTGTGGAAGGTGCGGGAGCGCGGTCCTTTCAAGGGCCTGACGTCCGGCCTGCTTCGCCAGGCAGTGTATGCGCCTGCGCGGCTCGGCTGCTATCCCATCTTCCGCGACGTGCTTATGTCGGTGAAGGGCGGCAGTAGCGATGCCACGCCGACGGTGCTGGACCGCGCACTCGCCGGCGCTCTCTCCGGCGCCTTCGCGAGCTTCCTGAGTTCCCCCGTCGAGGTGTGCCTCGTGCTGCAGACAACAAACGCCACGAAGCTTTCCGCACTCGAGGCAGCGACGCAAGTGTACACAGCGAGCGGCATCATGGGCTACTGGCGCGGTATTGGCGCTCTCGCCTCCCGCGCCGCTCTCGTGGGCGTCTGTCAGGTGGCCGTGCACGACCAAATGTTGACGCTCCTCCGTCGCCAAAACACACTGCGCTCCCAGCGAAAGGGCGTGGCTCCGTATAAGGACAACCTTGTTGTGAATGTGGCCAGTGTTTGCACAGCTCTGTTCTACGCGTTTTGCACAATGCCGGTTGAGATGGCGCGGGTGCGTATGTCGGCAGAGGCACGCAAGGGTAAATTGCCCAGTGGCGAGGTTGCGGAAACGAAGTACAAAAATGTTGTTCAGGCGATTGCCCGCATTGCGAAGGATGAGGGTGTGTTGGTGATGTACGACTCGTTCCTGCCGTACTTCTGCCGCTGTGCGATGCATACAGTGATTTGCTTCTTTGCGATTGAATATTTGACACGGAGCGCCAAGACATGGCGCTCTAATCCACAGTGATGCAGTTTTTCTGCCGGTGAGCCAGCTCATCACTGTGGATAAAAAGATGGAAGGGGTGAGTGGGTGAGAAAAAGGCTTCTGGAGGCACAGGAAGATCGCGCAGCCACTTTAAAGGCCATGATAAAATAAAAAAATGAAAAGAAAAAAAAAGTATATATACAATATACATTTGCATATATGTCTTTTTTTTTTCTTTTACACCGAAGCAAAGAATTACGCTCGTAGGAGTGTATGTAGAGAGGACTAAGCAGGACGGGCATGGGAGAGGAAACAAATAATAATAACGTGTGCGCTTCTCGGAGGGAAGGAAAGGGAAGAAGAAGACATAAGCACACGCAAAAGCAAATGATCACATGCCCACCAACAAAAGTCAAAAGGAAATTTTTTTTTTTAGTTGCTCATTTAAACAAAAGGCAAAACAAAAAAAAAAGCAAGAAATGGCCGGAAAGGTGCGTGTCTGCAGTGAAGGCGCGAGGGGATAATTAATTCACATATGTGAACGATAAAGTGGAAAGAAACATTAGAAGACATGCATGATCAGCTTCCTTGACTCACTGGGTGGGTGAGGGGTGGGGTGGGAAGAAAGGAGGGTAAGAAAACAAACTGGCAGGTCCTAACGCACGGAGAGGTCCGACAATAGTCATACCGCTAAGGAAGGGAAAGAGTGAAATAACAAGCGAGGAATGGAAACAGAGGATCTGGCGCCTCTCCATTCTTTCCTTGTATTTTGTTAATGGGCTTTATATTTAACGCCTTATCTCTTTCTTTTTCTCCCTCTCTTTCTTACACAGACTCTCTTTCTACCCAACTGTGTGTGCTCCTGTACGTGTATTGATGTTTTCTCATACCCTCTTCCTACTCTCGCCCTGCTCTTTCATTCAACGCTGCTGCAGGCGATGAATCACCTGTAACATGGTCGTATTCTCGCAACGGCTCCTTTTCTCTTTGTTCCTGATCTTTTTTTTGATTTGGACTGATGTTAGACGCTTCTGTTTCATCCCACATTGGTTTATTTCTTTGTTTCGCTGTGTTATTCTTTTACGTCCTGTTCTTTCTTTATTTGTGAGACAACGTGAAGAGTTAATCATGCAATCAGCGGATACGCATGCGCCAGAGTTAGTGACGCTCCGATCCCGCGTGGGAACCTCGTTGAGCGTGGAAGTTCGATGGGGCATTCAACAGCATGACATTGAGGGAATAAAGGCGCTACATGGAGCTGCTTTCCCAGTCAAGTACGAGGCCGCATATTACCAGTGGCTATTGACGGACGCATGCGTGGCGGTCGTCGCCTACACGACAGCCGACGACATTGAATCCCTCCTGTCTGGCGGTGAATATGATGATGGGGTGGATATGCCAGCGCGTGTTCAGGACAACGACGACGATGTCGATGGTAGTGGTGGTGGTGGTGGTAGTGGCGGTGATGTGGGAAGTTATAACTCTCTTGCGACGTATACTGTTCCGGTTGGGTTTTGCATTGGCCAACTGGCACACGTGCGGCGGCATGACGGCAAGCTTGTGGCGTCACCAACCGGATACTTGGGCTCCTTTGCTGTGGATGAGGCTTTGCGTCGCTGCGGCATTGGGGAACTACTTCTTCAGCGTTTCCTTTCCCACATGCACTTTAAAATTTGGGTATCACCGCTTGCCTATCTTGACTACTGCCCGCCAAAGCAGGATGCCGTTTCTACGCCCTGGTGGGATTCCATGCTATCAGTTGCCTGTGGGCGTTTGTGTGGCTGGCAGCATGTGGAGGAGAATGCGAAAGACAAACGAAAACAAAGTCGAGTTCTGAGTGAAGCAAACTGTAGCTCTGATGATGCCGCTTCCCCCACACAGAATGAGAGAGACCGGTTTGGCGTCGCAGGGGTATGGCTACATTGTCTCTCAGAGAATACCAGGCTGGTTCTTTATTATTTAAAGCGTGGTTTCACTTGTGCGCAGTTGATGCCAGAGTTCTACTACTATGAAGGGCTCTATCACGACGCAGTTCTTCTTGTACACCACCGAGACGATGCTCGTAGTTCCTTTTTGGTGGATGCGGCTTTATCTACTAGTTCAGAAGAAGGGGTCGGTGACTGCAGTTTAACCGCTGAATGCTCGCTGCCAAGGCCAACGTTCAGCCCATGCAGTGACACCAGGCTGAACGAGGACAATATTGAGTTGAAACGGGCTGATTGGTGGACAAAGAGTAGTGTGGACGTCTCGGACGTAGAGACCAGCACCGAGTACACCAGGTTGCGCGCCGAATGGCGCTCATACAAAAATGAGAAAGTTATCCGTCCTAATGCTGGAATTGGCTGGGCACAGAGTTTTCTGTTTGGAGTAAATGCAGCGGTGGCGTTGATGGGTGTTGTGTGGCTCGTTACAGTTGGGCTGTGAGAATGAAGACAATAGTCTGTGAGCGGGGAATGATCCTATCACATTTCTCCACACACACACATATATCCCGCCCAGCAAAAAAAAAAAAGTGCGGTGCTACCCAAGTAGTCTGGGTGACCATGTGGAATGTGATCTATATATATATTTTTTTTTCGGTTTCAAACTGTCCTGCAGTAACCGTCTTACCTGTTTGCTTACTAGTGTGTGTTCCCTTCTTGCAGGAATTGAACGTAAGGTCCATGATGGCAAAGGGAGAAGGATTGGAAGCAAAATTGGATACGCTCCAAAGCAAACTGGAGGCGATGCACGCAGACATCAAGAAGCTTGGTAACAGCACTGTGTCGTTCGACACCGCCGGCCCCTCCGCCTCCCGTCCCGCCAGCCTGCACGCTACACTGAGCGGCAGTTTGGCGGGACAGGTTTCAGCGATTCCTATCGGCCGCGGTTCCCGCCTCAATGTGGCCAGTCCTCTTGCCGAAACAACTACGCCTAACGGCCTGAGTGCCTCGTTTCTTCCTGTGATTGTGGGAAACGGAACACCAGTACGTGCTACTTTACCTGAAGCTGAAACTTCAGAGCCTCAAAATTCACTGAATAACCGACGGAAAGCAGAGGCAACGCGACAGAAGATGCAGGAATTTGTGAAGCCAATGCGGCTTTCACCCGATACTCGCGAAATTCAGGCATTACGTAACGTTCCGTGTGCATGGTTACTCAGTATTGCACTTTCTTGCAGCTACGTTTCTGGCGAACAAATCACCATTGAGGATATTCTTCGGCACAATCGTCTTGGTTTGCACTACGTTTCTTTCCCTTCCGTGACGCTCGCAGAACTTTTTGATATAACAAGCGAATTTTTGTCGAGTCACACCAAGTTGCGGCAGATGGGTGTGCACTGCGAAGTGGCGAACTTTGACACAGAGACGGTGGATGAAGTGGGAGATGTGATGGGGATGGGGGAGCGGTTGCCCATAATGACGCTCTCACAGTTTCGAAAGGAATTGTCGAACAGTGACGGCCATTCAATTTATATTGTGAACTACGATCCATATACTGTTGAGCAACACGAACTACGCATGCAGTTGAATTACATGGAGACCTACGAGCAGGATGCACCCGCTGAGGTGAGTGCACCGCAGTGGACACCTAAAAATCAGGGTGCCTTTGCGTTGATTCTCAGTTTCAATTCGGCACTGCATTTGGTGAGCTTTGGCGTACCTTGCCTGCTTGAGGATGGTCGCATTAGAATCCAGGAGCACACTGTCCCTATACAAATAATTTACAGAGCTCTATGCGTGAAAGACGGTTACTGTAATCGTTCCCGTGGCTTTGTTCGTGTGTTCATAAGTGATCAGTTTATTGAGAATGTGCCTTCTATATTCCCACTAAATGTGCTAGACGGTTCCATCTCAGGTGGCCCTCTGACGACTGCGCTCGACACTTCCATTGCCCCCCACATCCTCGGGCTATCGCTGATGCATCATCTTGTGACAAGTACCCTTCTTGACAAGGCGACACAACGACGCCAGAGTATCAATGATCCCTGTGATGCAAATCTGCGTGGTATTCCTGTTACAAAGTTATGCCAGCAGCTTGGCCTTGGTATCGCGACAATTGTTGGTGGAAGTAATAAGGTCTCTGTATCCGTGGCGTTCAGTTGGTACCGCATCTTTCTGAGAGGTTTGGGCATCGAAGATGCAGTTGCGTTGGGTGTTGTACTGGTGACCCGGCGCAGTGGAGCGGAGGACGGTCCCGTGAATATCACCGATGATGTTTTTCTGCAGCACTTGGAACTTGCGATGGAGACAAAGAGCGTTATACTCATAGGGTTTGATGTTAACATCGCGCTTAATGTTAAGGTGGATAACAGGGCAGAGCCGTGTCACTTCGCAATAGTCATTGGTCTGGATCAGGAACGTGGCATTGTGCGGCTGGTCGACGTAAACGTGAAGAAATACCGCAAAACATGGCATGTACCAGTGACACGTCTCTACTCAGCAGTGATTGGATACGGTTACATAATGGCCGCCAAGTCACAGAAGATCATTGGTAGGCTTGATGCTAAGGCGTACGAGGAATCTATACTATCTGAAGCACGCTACTCTCTCCCGCCTACGCAACGACTGCTGCGCTTTGAATACCCTAAGAAGAATTATGTCGTTACGGTCCTTGCTGACGCTTTTGATCGTCTCGGATTCAGCGGAGATGTGGAGAACGTCATGAACTTTAGTGGCTTCCATCTCTCCTTTATGCTTTCGGAACACTTGCCTCTTGAGAACGCTGCAACTGTGGCTCGAAACTATTCCCACAACTATGCAAAAGATCGTGTCAGTGTGCTTACGAACCACATGGAAAGGGGCACTGTGTACTCTACTACACAAGGCTTCCTCAGTCTGATCCGTTATGCCCTGGAGAAACCCAGGGAGCGTTGCTTGATATTTAACTTTCAGGCATCAATGATACACGCAAACAAGGCAGTTTGGAATGGTGGCAATGGCGGCTCTTATGCCATTCTCCTTGGCTTCGATGAAACCAACTCTATTGTAACACTTAGTGACGCGAACCATGAATCATTTTATCGAACCTGGGTATGCCCATTTGATGTGCTTCTCGGCGCCGTATCTGCCATGGACTCCATTGCTTTGCGTTCCCGCGGGACCCTTCTACTAACTACCGTCTCTCAGCATGATTTGTACGTTGATTGCTATGACTATGAAATGAGCCACGCTCTGGTGCACCATCCCTTTAAACCGAGTGTCTGGCCTGCGTCCCACTGCTTGGCTCTTATAGCATCCGAGATGGGAAGTGTGTTATCGGCACCTAATCGCGCTGTGCGATACTCTGCTGAAGACTTTCTGTATAATATGCCAGATTTCTCTGTGCACAAGGTTCTTACAGGGTCGTTGGAGAGTGAGCATATCGCTGCCATCGCAAATACGACGTTTAAGCAGCTACAAATCGCTCTTGAGGCTACTGTCGTCGATCATACTGCTGAAGGGTCATTTTTGGCGGCGTGCCACGACGAGGTGGTGAATGGAATGCCCGTGACAATGACTCTCTTGGGATACGACGCGCAGCTGGTACACGGCGTAGCGGGGTTCTCTGTTGGTGTTATTAATCGTGTGCGCAACAAGCAGAGAGGAGGAACGGTCCAGCTAGTGGAGGGGAATGGCTGCACATTCGGTTCCATCTGGGAACGTCCAGCCACCGAACTCCAACATGCTGTGAGAGCAATGGTGCGGATTAAGCGGGCTGCAAAGAGAAACGATAACTCTTGAAGGCTGAGGAGGGGATATCTACCTTTTGATGTTCTACCTTCGTCTATTCTTGCTGCATAAGGGTGTCGATTCAAAAGGTGAGAAGGAGGTGTCTTGACTTGTTTCTCAACAAACGAAGAATGGAAGCCTTAAAACCGGCTTTCTGGGCGTACACATAAATCGATTGCTGGAAGACAAAAGAAAGCTGCAAAGAGAAATATGTTACACACAGGAAAAAAAAACTGTATGTATGCGTGCTTGTTTGAGTCAAAAGGGAATTTTTTTTTGTTTTATGGGTCTGTGAAAGCAATGTTCTGGTCTTGCGTTCTTTGTGTGGAATATCACAAATAAAAACTTCCTTTCCCAAACAATCTTTGCATGGAGCGTTGAAAAGAGTATATTTTACAAGAAAGTTTATTTAAAGGATGTTAACGAATGAATCCCCATCAGCGCCGTTCGTAACTTGAACGGTTGGCCAGCACCAGGGCGTTTGCACCCTTAGCGCAGCAGCAGGGTCCTACAGTGTTTTCCTTCGTTTTTTTTTTTTT